GACAAAACTGGATGGCGAAACTACGCTTAAAGCTTAAGAAACCATGTGTAAGTGGCTTAATAAAGCCGCTGACTAAATGAGTGTTAAGAAGTTTTGTATTGGAGATTTTGCTATTATATACACCTGTAATTTATCAAACTACTTCCCTCAATCCATCGAAAATGTTTTAAGGTTTTATCAGTCAGTAATGCAATGATATGCGGGATAAGTGCTTTAAACATTTTTAAGATGGGCATATAGAAACTTTCCGGTTAAAATCTGATGCAACTTTATTAAAATTGTACCTATATAACATTAAACTGCCTTCACTTTACAATTAAGACTAAAGGGGCAAAAAGCGGAAGTCTATAAACTGGGTAGCAGTTCTGGAGAAGTCCGAACGTTGACCGTATGATAACGGCCTAGCAGTATTACATACGGTATTGCCTAAATCGCTCTAAAAGGCTTGCGCAAGTTAGCAGCCTTCTTCATGTATCTGATTCTTCAAGTTTTTTGGTTCCGGTTCAATATTTTTCTGTAGTACGATTTAAGAGACCAACTTCTGTAGAAACTCTCAGTGAATCACTTGGGAAACTATTATTCACAAGACTGGAGAACTTTAAACTGGCAAAAAGTGAAGAGTTGAAAAGTTCAGAAGAAATATTAGCAGGCGCTATGGCGATTTTGAAGAACACATATCTAATGCATTGATCACGACTAAATACGGGTACCGTATAGCCTTATTTCTTGAAAATCTTTAATGTGCGACAGGATTTTGCAGTAGTTCAATGAAAGACGATGAAAATTACTAATATAATAATGCTACTGAATCTTAAACCTTTGCTAACGACACTTCTTAGATGTCTGTCATTAATACTTTTTTAGTGCACGTTGAGGTGTATGGAAAATTTTTTTTCAATATTTTAAAAAGTGAAGTTATTAGAGAGTTTTCCAGGGAGTTGGCAAATGTGGTTGAAAATTGCTTAAAGTGGTAAAAAGTAATGAGCAATTTATGTCTCAGGACAGCTGTATAGAAAATATATTGGATCTTTCTGCCTTAGAAAAAGGACAAGAACAAAAAAAAACATAACACTAACGGTGAGCGATATTTTAAAATGTCGTGTTCCACCGAACAAAATGCGCCTCAGAAAAATTTGAATTTTATTGTTGAAGCCTGCATTCTGCCCTAACGAATCATTTTATAAAGGCTTAAATGGAGAATTTAAAAATTCTCAAAGGCTCGGAAAACCGAAAGCTGTAGCGTCATAGTTGATATAGTCTTAGGTAGTTTTAATATAGCTCTAAAATCGCTCGTAAATAGTTCCTGTTTTGGCCTTGAAGCAAACTGTTACTTGCTGAAGAAGATTCAGATAAACGGTCCTTGTGTTAATTGCCCAAACAATTAGATCCTTTTTCTTGGCCTCTTTATTAATTAACTGCTCTAGTAGATGGGGATGAGGAATAAAATAACATGAGATTTTTATATCTGTATACATAACATATCAATAAACCATCAAATGTTTCTTGCTTATCAACTGGTTCATCGTAAAACAAAGCTTTGAGGCGCTGCCTCGTTTCTGCTTTTCCTAGACTAGAACGTTTCAAATGGGTTATCGTCCTTAACCGTATCATATAACAAATACAGTTACAAGTCCAAAAATTTTGAGAATTTTGCGGATCCTTTCTGTGAGTTTGGAAGTAAACATGTTTAGATCTTATAACTCTAACTCTTCTAATCTTCATTGGTTTTATTTAACAATTTTAATCTACTTGCCAACTAAAATGGTTAGGTTTTTCTTGAATAACTCAGAGGTTACTTACTTAGTCTACGAGTTCAGCCTGATAGTAGAATTTCGGTTTTTTAGTGGAGCGTCAAGAAGAAGAAATCGTCGAAAGAGGAAGTTTACATCGCGATTTACATCTGAAAAGTAAAACGCTTACAGAAAGAGACAGAAAAGATGCCTTACTGTTTAATGTTACAAACTATTTTCAACACTGTCAAATATTTGATCTTTTTCGTTTATCCATTCTTTTAAAAGGATACTGCTTTTGAAATAGTTTAAAGTGGTGTAAAAAAGCAATTTTTTCATTTGACAGAATCCGATTCGTTTGTGTAAAGAAGCTGTAATATGTGGTGTGAGAAATTCATTTGAAAGTTTTTATTACTTAAATCAAACAATGGTGACGAGAAATGCAATAAAAATAATTTCTGAAAGCAGTAGTTCAAAAAGCTAGAAATTAGTAAAAGCTTAGTGTATAAATGCTCCGATGACAGTTCCCTGCAGAAAAATAGAACAGTTCTTACTGTCATGTATCTATTCTTTGATCTTACGTCCCCCAAACTTTATCTAGATTACTGTAATTTGAAATTCTCCAAACTTTATAATTGCTACATGAAGACTTATAATTATTACTTTATCTATTGAAACTTGAAGTTTTGAGGTGTGGAGGTGGGGCAGAGGGGACAAGGGGACAGATTTTTTGTCTCAACAATATTTATAAAAAAATCTGCATATATATCGACCCAAAGAATAGTTTAAATGTTTCTTCTGTAACTATTTTCAACAGTTACATTAAAAACAAAAAAACTCCTTATTTATCTGCTTACAGTCGGCATTTTTGCAGTCGGCGATCTGTTTATTGATATGGTCTACCAGTTTCTGAAGTCATTGTCGAGAAATAGCAAGCCCCGTACGTTCAAACTACAATTCTTTCCCTCTCTTTGATCATCAAGTTCCTGAAGGTAGTGTAAGTAGTTCAAACTGTCACAGAAAAAATGTTTATCCCATATCGTTTGATTCTCTTTCCATACCGCTTAGTTTCCACATACTAATGTTAGATACTGGAGTATGCGTCTTTTAATGCTTATTTTTGCAGTAATTTTGCGATGCTTATTCCACCGCTTTCAGTTATTATTATAAGGTCTCTGACTGCTTTTAAGGGAACAGTTCTCTGGTGTGCTACAAGCGATTAAGCAACCCATCATTTCTGATATCTAACCATAAGGGCAATAACTGTTTGTGACCCTAGAAATAAGTATGAACTTCAATTGAAGTCTTCTTTTTTACTTAGAAATGTGTCGCACATTTATGTCTTCTTTTCAGTATCTCACGCAGATTCGTAGTTCTGGCGATGAACGAGTTGGTTCTAAATTACTTCAAAGAGAACGTCGATAAAATGTTTCAAGTAGGATTTCCACAACTGTTTTTAAAACCATAACAATGAAGTCGGACAGCTGAGGAATACTTAAAGAGCGTTATTACATCCTCTTTACCGCATATTTTCTTCGTTAATTACATTTCAGTAAACAGTAATAAACCTTAAAGTTTTGTCATTTTGAAGTCATTTAAAAAAAAATATTTTGCTGTATGTCTTGGGTTTTTAGATCGAGCCCCTTCTTTCAGAGTTGTCCTTTTATATCGCTGACGTTCTTTTTTTTAAATCCTAAATTTTTCACCTTTGTCGACAAATACAGTGCTTTTAAGGTAGCTGACGATATACACCGAATGGCGGACTTTGTCATGGAAATAAGGAAAGTCAGTATCATTATTGGTATTATAGCTATTGTTGTAGGTTTCATGTATCTTGTCGTGAAGGTAGCAAAAAGGAATTTACAGTACAAAAATGAACACAGACAGTTTGAAACCATGAGAGAGGTATACTTTTTCTTCAAATGCACTGATTTGATTTTTAAAAGTCTGCTAAATTTTTTAGCTGTTAAACTCAGTCTCTTTTTGTGGGAGAATGCTGCATAGTTGTTACTGCAGTAGGAATTATTTCTAGAAGGTGAAGGAAAACCGTAACGCTATGATGGCACCATGTGTACAGTGCAGACCGGAGCTATGGTATACACAAAGGAGTAAGCGATGTATGGACATGGAGGGAGATGTTTGTGCGGTATCCGTCCATACACCAATTGGAAGTCTCGAGGACGTTACCTCCAAGATGGATGATATAAGAGAGCTGAACTCAAATACAAGCAGAACACACCGCCGCTGACAATTCCTGAGCTAATTTTGCCTCGACAATTTGCTTGAGTAGAACGTTATTCCGTGAAACTCGTAATAACGCCTGTTTTTTTTTCTGCCTCTCATTGTCGTTTTTTCTCAATATTGCGGAGTACAGGTTGTACAAAGACCTCGAACTTTCCCTAGTTGATATAATGATGCGTAGTTTTGAACTTCCAGTTTATTACTGGAGCCTGTTCACTGTCTGCAATTGTAAGCCATATATTGGAACTATTCAACCAAACAGCATTTGCGTAAGATAGCAGGAAGTATCCTGCCATTTTCAAAAGGTTGCAGAACACTCGTTTTAAAAATGACAGTTTTACACTCCTTTTTCCAATCTGTCTTTATTCGTAAAATTAATCGTTTTTCGCTTAATAAATACGGTAATTGAGTGTAAAAAACCATGGAAGTGCAATTGCAAAATGCAGTTTAGCATCATTTGACCTATTGCTTGTTCCTCAATGCAGGATTTTTTAAAGGTCAAAGGATGGGCTAATAAAGGGACACTTTCCGAATTTTCACTGAAACGCGAGCCATATGAGGAAGTACATGAAGGGTAATGCACTAGACTCCATTCAAACTTCAATACGGGTGTCCCTCTGCAGAAGTTGATGTCTCAAGCTCCTTAAAGTCTTATAGGACAGATGTAGCAAAATTACGCTAAAAAAATATCGGTATTCCAAAAATATTAAATTTGCTTCTCATTGCCTTTTCACAGACAAAACCCTCTTTCTAACTGAAAGTTTCACTAAAAAATGCAGTGAAATCATCAAACTCCTATCTGTTCCCGATAGAAAAAATCAGACAAAAAGTATCCAATCCAGAAGAGAACAAGTTTTTATCACGCTCAGAATATCCGTCATTCTCAAAATTGAAATGCAATAAGAAACGCAAAAGGTACATGAAAGTCAAATAAGTTACTGAGGGTTTCATCTTCAAGTCCCGTTGTGCGACCACTAGAAATGACTTCAAGGTCAATTAACATATAAAGTAGCGGAAATGAACAACAGAAATAATGCTAACATGCTGAAAGATTAAAAAACCACACTATGATAAAAAAAATTGTAATCTTCATACACATTTCTACAAAGTACAGTTTACTAGAAAAATGAGCCAAAGATCATAATTTCTGCTCGTTTAAAAAAAAATTTATTCTTATCTTATGTGTGAAAAAAACTTCTTACAGCGGTTAACAAGTTTCAGCTATATAATACTGCGAAATCAAAAAACACAAATTTAAATTCTAAACTAAGAATTATTTGCGAGATCAAAAATAGTCTGCAGACCCCAGCCATCTGAAATTTCATCAATTCATGCAAGCCAAAATTTCTAAACAATCTCAAAAGAAAATCTAACAAAAACTGCACAAAACCGCCGATCTTAAATCTTTCTGAGAAAACAATAAAACAATGTTTAAATTCAAATATTTTCCTTAAAAAAAGTTTAGGACGGCATATTCAATTCAAATGAAGGAACTACAGCATTAGGAATAATACCCATCATTGGTAAAACGTTCGCACCTGAAGTACCCTGCTGAAAACCTTCGTCATCATGAGCGCATAAAGCAGAGACCTTAGTAGACCGAGCAATATACATATAATTTGTGCGTAAACGTGTATCATACGTCTTTAGTAAAGAAGTTAGGTTCATGCCAGCTTTTATAACACTGTTCAAAGTCTCTTCATCTACGACAGTCTGAAAGTGAACAAAACAGTACGCAAACTAATAAATTTCAGACTCGACATGACGCACAATAGAGCCACAAAAATTTGGCAGCTCTTTCAGCCATCAACCCCATCATTTTAACCTGAACAAGTATAAATCCAAAAAAAAAAGATAAAGATACCTTGGGTTCATCAAAATAAACAAGGCCATGCTCCTTATCAAGAGTCACACAAATTTTGTTTTCGGCATTCATTTCCATGAGATACCTTTCAGCATTACCCCAGTCATGCAAATGACACCTACGAGCTAAGTCGCCCAATGAAACGCTGAGAAATGTCTGAAGAACAAAATTTATTGACTGTGAACTTCTCACTGACCTACACATTTGAGAGTTTTCAAAACACGAAGTCTGAGCTTTTAAAACTAAAATTTTAGATCAAACCTTGGAGAGTTTTATTATTGATGCTTCTCGCATTTTCCTTGCTAACCTTTTTATTAGACCAACATTGTTGTCCTAAAAATTAAGACGTGAAAAAATTTATAGAGTTTAAATAAGAAGTGTAATAAAACTCAATATTTTTCACTACACATCAGATGTTTTTCGTTGGCATAAACCTATTCATGAAATTTACAAACTAGGAATGAAAAAAAATCATTGCGCGCAGATATTATAGTCAAAACACTTAAAAAAACATGAAAATTAAGACGAGTAGATTCAAAACACAAAACCTTTCATGTTAGATGTTTATAACGATCATTAAAAGATCCCGTTTCAAAAACAATAAATTTAGCCAGATGATGAGCGCTTTAAGGTTCACCTTGAAAAAAACAGCGTGATGAGCTTGCAAATGGTTCATAATCTCCTGGGCCAGGTCTTTGTCTGAACTATCCATCGTACAAATATTTTCAAAAAACTGATATTCAAAGCAAAACCGCTGCAATTTTTGTACCACCATAGCTCGATAACCTGGTAATGCCTTCACCTTCCCATGTGATATTAAAGACATTAAAAGGTATTTCTAAAAAAGGCAAAGAAATTGACTAAAAAGCAGCAGTGAATCTATTAACTCAGTCTACTTTATACTGGTAATCAAAAGGTTGATGTTGTGTAATTGAAAAACTATTTTTTCCGCCTAAGTCTCACTCAAGTTGGTGAGAATTACAAGACAACAAATTTAATACCTTATAAGCTTCTATCATTATCGCACTGGTTAGTAAAGCTGGTATGCAAAGAACATTTTGCATCATGAGTAAACTGTCATCTAAGCGTCCAAGTGCGCCATAAATCAGACCCCCGTAATAAAAGTACAGTAAAACAAAACGTGAATCCATATATCCCCTATCAACTTTGTCTCCGGGAGTCTGCAAGAAAAATGGATGCGTGAAAAAATAGGCTGAGAAATTACGTACCGCCTCTGGTTATAACGCATAAATAGTTTACAACACGTTTTTTCGATTTGCAATACGCTATACATTTAAACGGGTAAATAAAAGTTATTCCAAGTAAAAATAAACGATGTAAACCAAAAAAAAAAAAAAAAAAAAAAAAAAAAAAAAA